TTGGGCAAGTTGAAGTTTGACCTGTTCCTCCACGTTTGACGAAAAAAATATGCTCGTTTTAGACACACTAACCTTCAACCCCGAGGCATTGCCGAAGATCGAAAGCACCTCATTAAGCACCGCCACTTGATCGGGAGAGGCTTCCATAAATAGCAACAAATCGTCCGCGAACATAAGATAAGGAACTGCCACCTCCCCTCGGCCTATCGAGATTGGCCGCCACACACCTTGGTCAACTTTAAGAGTAATAAGATGAGCCAACCTCTCCATGGCCAATACAAACAAGTACGGTGATATAGGATCTCCTTGACGCACACCGCGCGAGGGAGTGAACTCTTCCGTGATGGTCCCGTTAAAATTAAGTTGCATGGAAGCCGAAGTGATGCAAGTCATCACACCCCGAACAAAGATGTCCGGTAAGCCCGCTAACCGAAGGGTATCTTCGATAAAGTCCCATCGAAGATAATCATAGGCCTTCTCCAAATCTACTTTAACCAGGAAATAGCCTTTTCGTCCCTGCTTCATTCTCATAAAATGCACCAACTCTTGAGCAATAATAATGTTATCCGTGATCTGCCGGCCGGAGACGAAGCTCACTTGAGCCGGCTCAATAAGATACGACATCAAAGGTTTTAGTCTATTAGCGAGCACCTTGGTCGCTAGCTTATACACCACATTAAGAAGGCTAATCGGTCTGAATTGGGTGATATTTTGGGGATCATCGACCTTAGGTATCAACACAATTAAGGTTCTATTCACATCTGATGGCATTATACCATCCTGTAATATCTTACGCACTAAACAAGTAACCGAAGCTCCCACAGTATCCCACTTCTGCTGGAAGAAAATCGCATGCAGTCCATCAAGGCCCGGAGACTTTAAGGGGTGCATGGAACGAAGAGCGAATGATATTTCAACTCCCGAAATGTCTCTCTTCAAAGGTGTGATCTTGTCCGACGTTAAGATGGGGAAGCGGCTCAAGATTTGAACTGACCGATTTAGCTGAGGAACCGCTGTATATATGCGCCGGAAAAAATCAACCGCCAAGTTCTGAAGAGCAAGTTGATCCTGGCACCACTGTCCGTCGGTATCGACAAGGCCCACAATTTTATTTTTACGGCGCTGCGCTTTGATCTGTCGGTGGAAAAACTTTGTGTTCTTATCCCCAAATAAGGACCAGTCTCTTTGAGATTTTTGGATCAGAAGAATTTCTTCCTGCATAGACACCTCATCTAGAGCAGCCCCCAACTCCCGTTCGAGAGCCAACAACCGATTAGTAACACGAAATTGCAAAGCCCGTTGGACGCCCAAGATTCGGGCCAGAAGACGTTTCTTTCGTTGAAAAACATTCCCAAATACATGAAAATTCCACTCCTTAGCGAGAGTAGAGAAACGAGTAGACGCCGCCACAAAATCTGATGACCCTGACCAAACTTCCATAACAATTCTATCAAAATCCGTGTGAAGCAACCAGGATGCTAAAAATCGGAAGGGCTTTGGGTTATTCATATGAGGGGTCCCCGAGTCACAATGAATGAGCAAAGGCGTGTGGTCCGACTTTAAACGAGGGAGATGGGTCACGACACTACTTTCAAACTTATCCAACCAGGCATCATTGGCAATGGCTCTGTCTAGTTTCTCGGCTACTCCACCCCGAAACCAAGTATAGCGGAATCCATCAGTACGAACCTCCTGAAGCCCATGATCGAAGAGCAGATCGCCGAAGTCATTACTGATGTTAAAGAATTGAGAAGAACCACCTCGTTTCTCCGACGGGCGTAAGAAGCAGTTCCAGTCTCCACAGAGAAGCCACGGTCCCGATATCGTTGACGCAATGTGACGTAGTGATCCCCAAAGTGACCTACGGATTCGAGTATTCGGGCTAGCATACACGAATGTGACCAACGACCAAGCATCTCGGCTGCGAATCAAGGTGTGAATGTATTGATGATTGCACTCGAGTACGGTTACAGCCACACAATCTCTCCATAATAGCCAAATGCCACCGGAGAAACCTCTTGCTTCTACCCGTAACGATCGGTCAAAACCACTACGTTTCACAAAGATGTCTGCCTCTCCTCCACTGATTCGTGGTTCAAAGACACCAACCACATCTGGTTTATATTCGGATATAAGATTAGAGAAAGCTTGGCGAAAAGCAACCGAGCCTGCTCCTTGAACATTCCAAGTGACGACCTTCATTAAGGAAACTATATGAAAGAGAGGGTGAATCCTGTCATAAACTACTCGGGACACTCGTGTCCTGAGTGGGTTCCTCCACCATAATCGCATCCAAGCTCCCGCAGGCTTCTTCGTCGACGCCTTCATCACCTTCTACCCCTGCCAACGAAGCCGGAATATGGTTTGGTGAAGCGTCAAGCACCATTTCCGTATAATTTTGTTGGTCAAAGTTACCATCTTTTGAGAATTTAATTTCCATAAAATCTAGGTTGCAATAAAAGAGAAGATTTCCATCTAATATCAGTTTGCTAATTTGTCCCTACATATACT